TCAAAAATTTCGCCATTAAAAGAGGAGGGGTCCCTACCACCCCAGACCCCCCGCCCCGGCGGGGGGAGGAGACTGGGGGAGTTGAAGTCCACTCATCTTAAAGTGACCAAGTTTGGGCAATACTGATTTAGGGTCACTGCCATTTTAACAGACCCCACTCAGGGAATTACTACAACAGATGTGACTGGTGCTGAACTGAAATTTTTCTTCCAACACATTTCAGGGTATGCAAGCTCTGGTCACCCTATGAAAGAAATAAAAACTAGCAATGCTATAGTCCTTCATTTAAGTAGAACCTAGATAGCCATAGGAGGCCAAGAACTAATGTAGGCAAACATGTGGAACTCCATGTAGATGAGTGTGAAGGCTGCCAGTATGCTGTCTGTCTGTCTGTCTGTCTGTTTGTCTCTCTTGGTAGATGCCTTAGCAGCTCTGAAAATCCAGTAGCTTTGAGTAATTTGGAGAAGGTTTTTATAAAGGCTAACCTAGCATGCCAGCATTATCAACTATTTTAAAAATTAAAAAATATATATTTGGATAATATGCAAGAAATCTCAGAGAATTGGAGTTCCCTACGTTACAAAACCAACGGTCTCAGGGTTTCAATAACACCAAATATGCTTTTTATGATTTAAAAACTAGGTTAATCCAACAAAGAAAACTCTTTTTTGCATTTTTGGGAGGCTTCTCAAAAGAGGTTTTTTAAAATGTGATTATTGTCCTTCTCATATTGGAGATGCAATCAGTTGTAAGGTACATTAGTACATATGCTTTGGTCATGCCCCTTGGTAGTTTGTTTTGGTTAGGTATTATTGTTATGGTGAACCAAGTTCTTGGGAGGAAGTTAAAATTTAATGATGTCAAATGGTTGTTAAATTATATCCCAGAGTTTGGAACTTGTCCATTTATGAAGAGTTCTGGATATATCAAGCTTGGACTGTTGCAAAAATAGTGATCCTGGAGGAACATGTGCATACTACATTCTAAAGTTTGGCTAAATTAAATTGGTTAACTCTTGGCCTCTCAACTGGCTTTATAAAAAGAAAGAAAATGTTGGGTAATATGAACCCATGTGGAGGTTTAATTTGCTTTTTAAAATTTGAGATGCAGTAATATGCATGGAGCTAAAGCTATTATTCCTGTACTGTATGGAGAAGTGTTTTTTCTTTTTCTTTGTTCTTTTATTTTTATTTCATTACTTTTTTTTTCTTACTTATGTTCTTACTTTCTATTATCTAGATTTTTTGCAGATTTTGGAATTAGGGTACCGCAAAGAGCAACATTTCTTGTGTAACATTTCAGTGTCTGGCCCCAGCCACTTTTGGAGGATTCAACTTTTGGCTCCACCTACTTGAAAGGGATCTGGGAACTACAATGTGGATGCCAGTGGATCTCTCATGGCCCCCAATGCTGCCCTTTTTTTACCCTTGATTTAGAAGTATGGGAACATAGCCAGTAAATCGGCAATGCTGTTTACATGTGTTGCTTACTGAAATCCCTATTATGTCATAAGTATTTCATCATGCGCTCTACTGATATAAAATATTTGCACAGCTTTTCAGAAACCATTATGTAATTAAAACACAAATTAGAACACAGAGTATCTTCTTCATAACTTCATCAGGAGACTCAATTTTCTTTTGTGAAAACTGACTCTTTTGTAAGAATTTATAAAGCTTCTCAGCTTGTAAAAATAGCACAACTACATGTTTTGATCAATAGGGGCATCACTGGTAATTTCTTCTTTCGACAACCACTTGAGCCTTAATTTTCAAGCAAATGTAACACCATTTGTGATTCATGCTGAAGACAGAAAGGGCTAGGAAGGACAGAAATACGCAGAAAAGAATGTGATGGTAGAAGAAACCTATTCCTTCTACCCAGACTTTTAACTAACAGGAAAAGCAAAGTTACCTTTCTATCCACACACAGAATCTGTGTCTGAATACAGATCTTAAATACTTTAAGTACAGATTTTTAAGCTCCCCAACTTAATAGTGAACTACTTACTTGTCCAGCATCACTCTTCCAAGTGCCTAATCCAACTAAAGGCATCCTCTGTCCAGTGTGAAGCAAAACATAGCTGCACTCAAAAGGCATCTTTACCTAAACAAAATGCAAAGGTATTATTATTTTATATACCAATATGTTTAATAGCACAAAACAGAAAACCCTGTAGATTTGACTGCATTTTTAATGCTGATAATAATGCCACTGAATTTAAGAGAATAATAATTGGATTAAGTGTTACATTACATCAATATTTTAGTTAACATTCAGCGTGCTCTGTCATTTTACACCCTATCAAGGATAACAATTTTAAAAGAACCACAAAAAGCATAAAAATAATATCTAAATAAAATGGAGAAAAGTAACATATTGAAATATTACAAAATAAGGGAATAGTCTACTAAAACAACCAATCCAACAGCTTCAGTGCCTACCTGAACAAAGATACCTTGTTGTGAGAAACAAGGCCAAGAGAGTAGTACTGTAAATGCAAAAAATGTCTCTTGATATAGCTCAAGAAATTATGTCGTGAGAGGTTGTTTGTGTTACATAATTTCAATGCAAATGCATTTTTGTTTACAGGTAAGACCCAGGTTAAGAACACCTGGTTTACAGACAACCCATAGTTAAGAACGGAGCCTACTGCAGCAAAATTCGAATTAAATACACAATGATTCGAGTTAAATACACAATGGTTCAAATTAATTATACAATACTACTTATACAGTATTATATAATAATACTGTTCTGGTTTACATACAAATTCAACTTAATGAAAGACCTTGGGAACAGAACTCATTCTTGAACTGGGGACTACCTGCACATGTACGCACATTTTATTGTTTAGAGCCACATTCTATTACTTTTTAAGCCTACAAAGAGGGAAAAAACCTTTTCAACCTGAATAGGGCTATATTTTATATTTGCTGGCCAACACCCTTGCCTTGCTTTGCCATTTTCACAGCAAGGCAGGAAACAGAAAACACTGTTGCTCAATGACTAACCAGTAAACGAGCATTGCTACACCTGTTAAGTGAATGTGTATTGATACGATATTGAGTTTTCAGATCACCAAATGCAAAAATTGTGTTGCTTTGTCTGGTTCTTGAACTGTGCAGAAAAACTGCCAAATATAATTTGTTTGTTTTGAACAGGGATATTTAGTTTCAAACTAGGAACACAGGTTTTTTTTGTGCACACCTCTAGATTCAAGGTAATATGGCACTCTACAGGCACTCTATAGGTTAATTAATTCTTCATGTGAGTTCCAACACAACCTTCTGAATTGCTCCCTGAACACAAAAAGATTATGATCAACAATACAGTACTGTAATACTTCTCCACAACCAGTTATTCTTCCAGGAACAAACTGAAAATTCTGAGGGCGTAACATAAGGTTTGGCTCCAGAAATTATGATTGAAGCAATTTTATTGGTACAAAAGGATCTTGTTTACCCCTGCTTTACTTCCCTCATCCTTTCTCTAAATCATTTCCCTATGTCTAAATTTAAACTATATAAACTCCTTGGATAAAGATCTATGAAACCTCTTTTTTTCTAAATTGCCAAAAATACAGAAATGATGCAGAATTAATTCATCAGTCTCCGAAACAGAACATCTTAGAATATCTCCCTTTCAAATATGAAGATGAGGGAACGCCTATGAGTACTACTAAAGTCTCTCTGTGAGGAAGTAATCACAACTACAAGCATCCTTTCTCATCCCAGTCCAGTGAAAGCTAGAGTCTTTGGACATCAAGACCCCTACCCCATGGACCCCAGGAAATAAAATAAAAGCAACCTTCCTAGCGTGCATTATCGGAGGTGAATTCTGAGAGAATCCAACTCCCTATCCCAATGACGTTTTTTGAAACCATCCAACTGGGGAACATGGATAATTGCAACACCACTAAAATAAGGCTTTAACAGCTGCTTGCCACTAGACCAAATGACTGAGAAACCACACATTTCACATTTTCCACTAATGAAACACACAGACCTGCACGTCACATTATAATAAGAAAAGCAATCTCAGCTTCCTAAAATGCAACAGGCAACTGGACATTTTAAAAAAAATTAGGTGACTTGGAGATCAGATTTTAACCTGTAGAGGAATATGGAGGAGTCCTTGAAAAAAATAAATACCAACCATTAGTAAAACATAAGTTTAGCCTGTGAAAACAGGACATCATAAGAAAGGAACTCAAGATTGTCTCATCTTGACTCTCTTTGATATAAGAGGGACAGAAGGAAAAACACTGTCAGGCTTCCAAGATTGTTATTACAGCCTATATCAATAGAGTTCTAGTATTTTAGTATTTCTTGCGGCAGACCTGGTCTGCCTTGAAGGGCTGGCATACCTAAAAAGGTCCCCTTCAATTCCCAACTTTTCTTATCAGGCCCTGCTCCAAAGCTATCAATGACTGCCTAATATTATCACCCGCTAATCTTTATATTCCTGCTATTAAAATATTCATCTACTAATCAAATTGCTGTTATAAGAAATGACAGCACGCAGTGCTTATTTTCCTAATTAGCTGGCAATCATTATACATTATTAGAATGAAGGACATTTATGAAACTTCCATAAATCTAATCTAAGAGGGGAAGCACTGGGCCTGGACAGATCATGCTATGTTTAAATCATGAAGACAACTTAAGCAGTTCCCTTCATTTATGAAAACAAGGGAGGGAGGGAGGGAGGAAGGAAGGAAGCTTTAATTTAGAAAAGTCGGGCATAAGAAGTTAAGCTCATTGTCCTACAGTCAGCTGTTGTCCTCCCCTACCACACATCTTGAAATCTAATTTGAAAATAATACAGGCCTACAGTATTTTGGTGAGGAAATCTGTGCAGGATCCAGCAAACAGGCCTGTACATGAAGTTTGCCACTGACATGATTGTATCAGTCATTTTCTGAACATACGGAAACATATCAACCAAGTAATCTCATATGTGGTAGAATAATAGTGAAATCCCAATTTTACAGCAAATCTTATAGAATGCCAGATACTCATTCTCAAATTCTGACCAATTCCACATCTTAAAATATATATAAGCTTATTTAACTTTTCTGCCAAGTACATTCTGATATAGCTGTATAGTTATGTTAATCTTGAATTAACAAAAAGGCTTTCTTTAAATAATGCCTTACAGAACTGCTAGGTTAGCTAAGAACTTATCTCCAGGTGAGAAATGAAAACATTGAAGTCTATTAAGACCTCCAGTTTCATACCGGTGTATCAGGTTTTTCCTTTTCTCACTGACCGAATATTAGTCATGAAAAAACATTATTATATGCAAGATAACTACTAGCTACAGGTCTTAGTGCTCTTACTATTTCTGTGATTGGAAAAGATAAAACACAACAATATAAATGGCCCTCAGCATTGGATTCTAGTATTCATTATGTGCAATGGCTGTAAGTCCTTTTTGCCTCTACACACAACTTAAAGACCTATGAATATTTACATGGAGCAGTAAGCCTCACTAAAAGCAATTCAGCTTATTTCTTAGAAGACATACATAGAATTACATTATTAGTCCACTATATCTATCAGCAGCACCTTGGAAGATATTATTATGTATGAATATGCTTGTTATTGTATTTTTATTGTATTTTAATTAATATTTTTGTTTTTACTGTAAACTGCCCAGAGTCACTTCCTAGTGACCAAATTTGAAATATAAATAAATATCCCAATACTGCACTGTAGAAGGCTTTATAAGTAATGATTATGTCAGCCTCACAATATAAACCAGACCAAGAAACAAACTCCATGGAGGTCTAAAACTACTTTTATTAAGATGTGCAAGATTCTGTTATTACGGCCCAACTGATTATGCTTTACCTCCTCCCTTCCTTATACTCATGTGAATTAAGGGCGTGTCTGAGACGTTTATGCATACCTTCTTGTTTTGGGTTCAAGCCATGTTTTGTTCCTCCTTCTTTGGTAATGGATCTCTCTGTCAAGGTCATCCTCTTTACTCTCATTTATTAATCTACAGATTAGCCCTTTTTTGATAGGACAACAATTTCAAAATTTGTTTGTTTGCCAAGAGGAACATCCTGTAGTGTGATCTAAAAGTTATTCTACAGGCTTAATCATAAGAGGAAATTATGCTTCAAGAGCTCTAGACTTTGCAACTTTCTCAGTTTTTGCTAGGATCAGCTATAAAATTTTTCCATAGAACTATTTATGGAATAGTTCACATGCTGAGGAAGAAACCTCAGCAGACACACATGGAGTGTTCTTTTTATCTCAGCCCCCACCTCACACACATTGCATTAACTTGGATTTTTAACTACCAACCAACCTAAGGTCAGTATTCAGGTTAAAGGAATTAAAGATGGCAATCTTGTTAGGTTTGACCAACAAAGTAAGCCCCAAACTTCCATTAAAGAGCCACAAGTAGGCGTCTGTATATGTGAAAATGGCACCATATGCATATTCCTAACTGAGCTCTAAGCATATCAGGTAAACATGGCCATTAAATCTAAATATTATACATGAACCATGCCACAGATTTGCAACTGAGAAGCTATAATTAGCTCCCATATGATTTAGAAGTATGTACTTCAGTATATTTAATCTAGTTGTTTAATTTAGATAAAATACACATTAATCTTAAACACTTTCACTGAGAGGTAAATTATCTCACATAATCAGTAACTTGATCAAAAGGACCAACATTTCACCCTTGTTTCCTGACAAAAGTGCAAATATTTTCTCATTCCACTACAATGGATTCTGAACATTCCTACAATAATGTACGGCTACAATATTTAGAATACAGAACAAACACAACATACTGGGCTGTTATTAGTTTTGATAGGTTATGGCAACACTATACATTGACTTCGATGTAGGGCTGCACTTTCTTAAATGATCCTTCATACTGTCTATTCCAAAATCTATCTTATTCATTCCAAGAACAATTTTACTTCAAGATACATTTTTACATATAAAATATAAATTACAGTGGTACCTCTAGTTACGAATGCCCCTCCTTACGAATTTTTCGAGATACGACCAGCT